CCTGCATAAAGGTTTTCTGATCGTTCCAACAATGATCAGAAAACTGTAACATTGTTTCAGGAATAGATACATTATGTTTCTATTAATAAAAACAACTGTACAGAGCTAAGAAACCTCTAACCCCCCAAAACATTAATAAATATTATAAATAAGTGATATAAACCATCAATAAATGGATAATGAAAATATAGTGTACAAAAAACTGTATATAACTTGAATTGTTAATTTATATCATGATAAGTTAGTGTAAAATTGATAATTCACACAGTGAAAAAATATTTCTAAATACTATATAAATAAAAAAATAATTCATAAATCTACAAATATTCCATGTGCAAAGTTCATTACAAGAAACAATCTTGAAAATCCATTCCACATCCCAGTGAGAAAACAGAGTATCCAAAAAGTGCTCCGTATTAAGTTTGTGTTCTCCTCATGCCACACAATCACCCCCTTATGAGTATGCACTCACCGCATACATTTGGCTGCGAACTAACAGCCAAATCTCATTAAAGTGCCAGATGGATTCCCTTTGTTGATATATGTTCATCACCGATATCCACGTCATAAGGATTTAAAAAACTCCTCATTGTACAATAAGCCATATTTAATTTATTAGAGATCCATAAAAAAAACCTCACATGTATAGTAAAAGACAAGCAGCTGGTAGATACAAGCAAAACAACACACTTCCGTGTTATGTGTAGCGTCAAACAGACCCCCACTGACGCGTTTCATCATCAAGATGTCTTCAAGGGACGACAGGTCTGTTCAACTACACCGTTCACGTTCATTTTTAGCAAACATATAAACATTGCATTCACAAAAAACTGCCACTAGATGTCCCCCTTCTCAGTGGGATATATTCAACCCATAATATAGTGAAATAAGATACCAATTGATATATAAAAACTAACAGAATATACTTTTCACTAGACTAAATATATTTTTTTCAATAGATAAAACTAAGCCCATTATTGTTAATAAAATAAATCCCATTATTGCTAATAAAACTAATAAAATAAAATAATCCAAGCAATAAAATGTAGTTACCATTATTAGTTATCAATCAACCAACAAAAAATCAATCAATAATAATCACTAACAATAATAACAACCCATACCATTACCCATCAACATTATTACCTATATTATTTTTTATTTTTTGTCACCTATATCATTAATTACTAAATATATTAATGAAAAAATATATAACTTTATTTAAAAACTACTAGGAACTATATCCTTATTTATTACTTAAAAAACAATTTAGGTCAAAATAAATATTAAGCCCCTTGGGAACCATGGTATCCAGTAGGAAAATCCATTTGGATTCATTCTGAGAAACCTTGCGGGTGAGGTTAGTACCTCTCCCGTGCTTTTCTACTTTGTCAATCCCCACTATTTCGTTCCTGAAAAGCGATCGGTTTCTGAAAAAGGTTAACTCTTTCATTAATGGATGCCTCTATACTGATTCTCAGTGGTTACCAGCATTGCAGGGCCGCAAATAACTGGTCACGTACAGTGTACGTGGCCAGTCATTTGGTCACTTTGTGGCGAGACGTACAGTGTACGTCTTCCGTCATGAGGGGGTTAAGGGGGGCAATGATACTGATTATTGTCCACCTTTTAGACCGATAACCGGTACCGATATTCTGTTTACATCCAGCTGCACCAGTTTGTTTAGTTTTTTTGTTGTATTCTGACAGCGGCCAGCATTAGCTCCCCTGCCATCTGCTTATTCCCTTGCTATCTGTTTTTTTTATTCTATTTTGAAAGCAGCCGCCGTCAGAGTAAAGAAAAAAAAACAACAGATAGCAGGGGAATGAATATCTAGGCTGCTTTGGCTTTTTCAAATTGCAATAGCCAATAGCAGGCTGGCTATTGTACTCGCCCACTGCTGCTGTCAATCAGCAGAGGGGGACATGAAGGATTACCTGAAGGAGAACTTCAGGTCCATGTCTGCTGATTGACAGCAGCAGTGGGTGGGTGCAATAGCTAGCCTGCTATTGGCTATTGCAAATTGAAATAGCCAATAGCAGCTTAGCTATTCGTTCTCCTGCTATCTGTTGTTATGTTCTGTTTTTTTACTCTGAAGGCGGCCGGTGGCCGCTGTCACAATATATAAAAAAAAGATAGCAGGGAAATCAGCAGATTGGAGGAGAGCTAATGCTTGCGCCAGTGACATCAGATGACCTATAAGAATCAGTGTGAGCACTGAGCCAGTTGCTGACTGGTCTTCAGCTCTCCCTTGCTCCTGTGCTATCCGTTTCCTGTGACTCAGTTTCAGAGGCATAACTAGAAACCTCAGAGCCCCCGATGCTAGAAACCATTAAGGCCCCCCCAAAGAAAACATGATTTTGATACCTTTTTTTTTCTTCTATTAAATAAACAGTATGTATGTTAGGACTTTCAGGGCTGGTTCAAACCAGCTCCAGTGGATTCCGGCCCGATTTGGTGCTGGAACGCACTGGATCACATCCTGGCCAGCTCACTGTGTTCTGGGGTGGGAGGGGGACGTGGCGGTGCATTAAAGTCAATGGCACCGCAGGCACGCCCCCTGGCCGCAGTGCGATCGCCTGCACCGAAACGCATGGCAAATGTCCAACTGGCCGAACACCAGGGCCCAGTCGCAAATGTGACCGCTGCGACCCTGGTCATTTCACCTGCGCGTAGTATCAGTATTGGCACTGGTGCATCCCTACTTAATAATATAATGTATTGCTGGGACTGACTGGAGAGGGTCCTCTCCCAACAGAAGAATGTGCTGCCTGCTGTATCGGTAGAGGCTCCGCAAGGCAGACAAGTGACAGGCGCAGCCTCTCCATCCCCACACAGCTGCCCGTACATTCAGAGCGCAGCGGGGGAGGAAGCAGCTAACCCGAAGAGGGGGACAGCATGAGGAAGCTTCGGGCCCTCTGCTTCCTTTCTGGCCCCCCCCCCAACAGGCAGAACGCCAGGGCCCGGTCGCAATAGTTCCGCCAGTGCTCTGTTTACCTGTGCATGATTCTGGCTGACGACTTTGACTTTGATTTGGTACTTCACCTGAGCTCTAGATTTACCCAGGTATGACTCTGGCCTGTGACCCTGATCCTGCTTTTGAACGATTCGGCACCTCACCTCTGTATCTGATCCTTCTGTGCATGACCCTTGCTTGTGACCTCAACCCTGATTACCAGCTCAACTACACTCTGACCTTGCAACGCATGGTACCTCAGGTTCCTGCAACATCAGTTCCTGTAGACGCATTAGCCTGGTCAACACACTCAAACTGCAGTACAGGGTCCCACCAGACGACCTCTTCGGCACTCATGCCTCCTCTCACTTGTTACTATGATGGGGAGTTGGACTGGTGGTGCAAGAGTAGCCCCTTATTCAGCTCGTTCTCCAGTCAGGTACGTGATAAATATACTGACAGAACATTTAGGAATTTTTATCAGGAAATCAGGCTGCTGCTTTCTCAAATATGCAGTATAATCTCACGTTGGCTAATTTGGGGCTAATCTGTACTTAAAAAGGCCTGAAAATGATTCTGGTATGCATAGTGGTTAAAAAGTTATAACTAAGTAACCTTGCGCATACCAAAACTTCAAAACTTGGTCTGGTCATGAAGGTTTTGCTTACCCCTGTTTGTAAATGGGTTACATAGTTACTTTTTATTAGGTATAAATCAGTATAGCAAGTATCTACATACTGAATGTGTATCATTAGCATGAAAGTCTAATACACTGTCAGATGCGTAAACAGATTAAAAGTCTTCTTTAAATAATTGCTAGAAAAAGATTCATGGTTTTAGGCCCACTAGAGATCAGGATACAGAGAAAACCAATTAAAGGGAAATATTTGTTTAAGTTTTTTGCATGTAAAAATTTACTTTAAAAAATGAGATATTTGTACTTGCTAAAAATCCCTTTCTTGGCCATTAAGGAACATTGCATTTCATAACCATGGTTTATACTGCTTGCTACAGGAGGATTGGACACTCTATGGCTTCTGACCTCTTTTCACTTCATTGTGGCTCATGTAAGGGTATGAACTTTCTGTTTTTGTCTGTCCATACACCATTTTTATTTAGTGATTAATATCTTGAGGTCTCCTTTAGCAACCTTGTGAGGTTTTTAAATAATTTTAGGGACTGGGTTTAAAATGTTGTTTTCTTTATGCTTAACAAAACATTATATGATTTTATACAAGCGATGTGGTTGATTGTGAGTGGATTTGTGATGGTATTAAAGTTGGTAGAAATGCAAGCAAACATGTTTGGGACTTCTACAGAAAAAGGAAAAATGTAAGCTGGTAAATTGTAGTCCCAGAGTGGCAAATAAGATACTGTATTTGTTGAGCCAGTTGGTGCTCATCAGTCTACAAATCAAGAGAATTGCAATTATCGTGTGCTGGAAAACCGAAGCGAGATACCAGTGGGTCTAGCTGCCACTTGCAGATCTACAGAGACAAAACAATTCCAGTGACACATGCTGTAAAGCAGTGGTTTCCACACTTTAGAAACAAAGGGGTAGTTCACTTTCTGTCACTCTGTTTGGGAGCAAGACTGGTCAGTGTGACGTACACCTGGCCCGAACCCGCTGTACGTCAATCACACGTGACTATACACAGTTCTGAACTGAGTGTGGCATCACAAAGACATGGCGATACCACTCTCAGCCTCACCGTGCACAGAGATTTCCCAGCTTATGGGACAATAATCTCAGGCCAGCAGACTGAGAGCGATCGTCACTAGGGTTGGTTAACTCCGCGGTTAACCCTTTACACACCAAATATTAGCCGCCACCCCATGTTTTTTTTAACGGAAACACGGACCGTGCCCAGCAAGTGCTGTAACAATTTAAAACACTTAAACAATGCCTATGATACCGCTGTCCTCTCAGACAGGAATATGACAGGATTCTCTATACAATAGCACTCGTCACAGAGGCAAGGACACCTTAAGTTCATATTTAGAGTGTAGAGATAAGCTTAACGATTTTTAAGATCATCCTTTAATGAAAGAAATGGTGCAGAAAAATATACAGAAAAATATATTAATAAAGAGACAAAATATATAAGAACAGTAAAATAAAAGGTGAATACCTAACAGTCCTGGTTTTAGGAGTTCTGATAGAGCCCAAGGTTCAATAGAGGGGTCTGAAGGGGTCTCCTTTAAGCAAGTTTTAAGCAGATGATGTCCAGATATTAAAGGGGAACTCTTCTGTGGTGTTAAGAGTTTCTGATGTTGCCGGAGTTCCTTTCTTGATATTTCAAAACAAGAGCCTCTCTAGCTGCCTCGGCAGCATCTTTTTGTCAGCCCTCTAGGGGGTATCATGTAGCTGGCTCTTAGGGCAGGGCTGTGGAGGGAGAGTAGGAGGGATGAGCCTTTTCAAGTTCCTCCTCTGCTCCTCCCAGACGATTAAAATCATAATTTAAGATGATAGCGGAGTATTTATATTTAATACGGTCCGGCAACCACCAAATTATGATGTGTCATGAAGTTCCCGTTAGATTAAATCTAAAAATGCCGCCAGGTTCTTTCGTATGTCAACTCAATTCTTTCCTGGCAACCCGACCTGGACTATACACTCTGCTTATTTTGGTTCTTTGATGCCTCCAAACGATCGCAATGTATCCCCAACTACAAAGGCCTGGACTGGCTTCACATCTGCTTATAGCCAGGAGGTGTATCATGCGACATTGGGGTGCTCCCAAGGATCCTCAGCTCCAAGAAATTGTCGGTGATCTGAAATCGTTGTTATACACAGAAAGACTTGATGCGGAGATGCACAAAAAAACTCGCACTAAATTTTTCTTTTGTAGGTGGAGATAATTTATAGGCAAATCTCTAACATCTCTGGAGATCGAACAGCTTATGAAGCCCTTTCGTTATACTAACTGGTATTTTCGAGAGGAAATGTCAAATGCCTTGGGGGTTTTGCACCTAGACTCAGAATGAGATAACCTTTCTGTAGTTGTCCTCGTTTGCTTCCAAGGAGCGCTAATGTTTGTTACACATAGTGACTGTTATGTTTTATTGAAGAAATTACATGATTTATTGTGAAACTTACATGTTAGGATAGGATGCAACACTTGTATCTATTGTGCCTTAACCAAGCTACTTACCTTGAATTATAGATGATTATTGTGGTTTTATAGTTGGCTGTAAATTGCTGAAATTTTTTAATAAAATTTTATTGAAAAAAACGTGCCCCAAATATGAAGGATGGTGGGCCA